CACCAATTGGGCAGCAATTGTGCTGCGTTGCACTAGCAACTGTTGTACTAAATCAAAACGTTCAAAGCCCAAGAGTTCGATGAGTTCATTTTGCAGCTCGTTGTTACTACGTTTGGAACTAAGTTGTTCGCTCACTTTCGCAACCAGTTTGGGATCACCAGAAGCTATTGATATCTCCAACAATTGCGATAATTCGCTTTCATCATCACCACTGTGTTGTTGTTCGGCTTCTTGATTCCATTGCATCGAGAAGTTGACTGACGCGTTTTTGAGCAATTGTGCGGTAGGTGCGAGATCCTGCAATTGATGTAAATCACCTAATGGTGGTCCTTTCAAGCGTATGCGTATATTTGTGCCCCAACTTTTTTTGTCCAGTGCATCTCGATTGGTTTTGCGATTCCACTGCTTTAGAGCTTCGCTTTGATAATCTTCAAGCAGTTCACGCAAAGCACCAACACATTCTTGCATTTTTGTAAATTTATTTTCGAAAACACTGCCAAACATACTGCGTACACGCATTTTGGAGGCTATGGTTACAACGCGCTGCTCCAACAGTAGCCAAAATAGAAATAGTGTCGCATGATCCACAACTTGCGGTTGTTCTTCGTAGCCCATGCATTCTCGCACAATATTCCGCAGCTTTAAAATATTTACCTTCGCTTGTGCTTGTTTGTCAGCCGGAAACTGTTCCAGCACTTTTGATACAGTTTGTCTTTCAGCTATTTCACTAAAAATGCAGAAAAATATAATAAGAATATGAATGTTTTTTGTTATTGTACTATTCTGACGTATAAAAATGTATATAGTAATTCACAGCTGTGGACACTTACTCTTGTTGCAGTTTTCGCAGGTCGGCTGAAGCGACACCGGTTTGTGGAAGTTTTGCTTCTAAGTCTGTGTTCGCACGCAATGCAGATGAAAAGCGTGGGAGCTCCTTCATCGTCTTACTAACACTTAATTTACCTCTGACTTAATTATACTATGGAATATTTTAAAAAAATTTGTGAAATTTTTGTCTTGAGGGTTGATTTTTTTTAAACTGTATATTTTGCAATTATAAGAAATTATCAGCTGTTTCAGTGTTGCTTTAGTTTCATTTTATTTTCAGTGCTACCTTTGCAATAGTTCGAGCACTTTACTTTAAATGCTTCATCAATAATAGGATTTCTCAGGAAATTAATCCCATCTAACCAATTAATTACTAAATGTCCGATTAACTACCCAATAGCACGACCAACAATTAATGTTAGAGGTTCTATGTGTTTCTTAATAGGGGGCGGGGTAAAATACACGCATGTTTTTGTGACGTCAAGGCTAAAATTTCCTTCATGAAACCAATGATATATTAAAGTAAATTAAAATTTTTACGAAAAATATTAAAAAATACATCAATCTATAAACCAAGGTTAATTCGTTAGATAACAGTTTTCCTCAAGTAACACTTGTAGGCTTTTTCGAAATTTCAGTTTTAGTTTTTTAGAACACTTTGAAGGAAAAAACTTGATTTTTAGCGATGGAATCGGTAAATTGGATAATGTATTAAAATTCTTAACAAATTTAAAAACAGCCCAGCAATGTTACCTCGTAAATTATGTTGTTGTTGTAAAGGTTACCTAGTCCCCGCTTGGGTGATAAATTATAGTTTGGTTGTCGTTGAGGTCATCTAACGGGAGGCATAGGAAACGAGCTGTTTGGACGGGGTCGGACCATAGGGGAAGGTTGTTAGATGGGTGGGGTTCGTTGGGCATGCAAAGAGGTGGTTAATGTCATGCGGAGACTCACTGCATGCGGGACATATATTTGGTGTGTCGGGGTCTATTCTGAATAAGTAGGAGTTTAACCTGCTACAATATCCAGAACGAAGTTGCGGGAGGGTCACTCTGGATTCGCGAGGCAGTTCGAGCTCTACGTCTGTTATGGGTGGTGGTTTAACTCCTAGTACGCCATTCACTGAGAGGGAGTCGGTGAAGGTGTTAATGGCTCCACTGTGAATGGCTGTCAATACTTGTCTAAAGTTCGTTGCGTCCGAAGTCTGGTAGGCGTACTGTTTAATATCGTCGACCTAATCAATGAAGGACCTCTTGATGTTCCTAGGAGGCGGTTCCGCTTTAAGCAGACGACTGCATACGGAAGCATACGGGATTCACTATGTAAGTGTTCGATTGGGGACATCAAGAGGCATCCCGTTATAGTTCGGAGTGCAGTGTTTTTGACAAGTCTGAAGCTTCTTCGTCTGCGTTGCACTACATCCAGGCGACCATATTCTCAAATCAAAACAAAAAAAAAAACGACAAAAGTGAAGAAAAATCACAACAAGAGGAAAAAAACAACAGAAACGACGAAACCCACATCGGCAGAAACCTTATACACCCCACAAACGTCCACGAGACAGGAGTTCGTGCACAAAACGCGACTGGCAGAAGAAGAGTCTCTCGAAAAGAGCAGAGCCATTGTTTAAAAAATGAAGCAGGCAATGCCTAAACAGAAGAACGTCAGCTTCGACGTAAAAAACGGAGCAGGGCAGCTGTAAGAGCTCTTCGATATCATTAAAAGCTATCGAAGGAACTGAATGATGTCTGAGAAGAAACCGCAGCTCATAGTTGAAGCCAACAACTAACCAATTACAACGCCCCAGGCCACCACATCCAAACAACGCGCCAAAAGATGATGCCAAAGAAGCCAAGGAAACTCGACGAGCGTCAAAAAGCGACAAAGGCCTCCAGAAAAACTGACGGCTCAGGAAAGCTAATAGAAAAAGCCAACGCCAAAATCAAAAGCTGTGATTTATAAGCCAACAAAAGGAAACAGCAGATGTCCTCAGGAATATCAAAACGAACTTTAAGCCCAACGAAACAGAAGTCAAAATAAAAAGAATATGAACAACTAGAGTATTAGCATTTTTACTGGAGCTAGAGAATGGCCAGGTGGCAAGCCCGAATTTCTTCCAGTCTCTAAAGAGCACATTAAAACAGAGCGCATCTGTAGCCGACTTTAAACCAAAGACCACAGAGGAGATTAGAGACCTCGATTTCCTAACGACAAAGGAAAAAGTCATCGAAGCAATAGAGCCTGCTCTTAGAGAACCCGTGCCTAACCCGAAAATAAACATCTCTCCACCCAACAGCAGAGTGCAGGTCAGAGCATATATAACATTGCCAAGTACTAAAGCAGATACATTGCTAAGACAGAGAGAGTCAACATCGGATGGATCAGCTGCAGACTACGACTAAAGGAAACTATTAAAATATTTTTCCGTTGATTCGGACCAGGACACCTGGCTTGGGATTGCAACGGACCGACGATACTTACCTAGTTGGCTACGCAGACGACACTGCCGCGAGCAGGCTGATGTCCAATATCGGAGGACCGAGACAGGAAAAACGGAAACTTTTAATGTCGACAACACTAAATGTCTTACTCTACGAAGCAGAGCTACGGGCAGACACATTGAGGAAAAATAATTGACGCAAATCCCTTGAAAAAGTGTATCGCATAGCTGCTCTAAGGGTAGCATCGGCATATCGTACAGTCTCGGGCGAAGCTGTATATGTAATAAGCGGAAACACACCCCTACGACGCTGAACACACATTTTTCAATGCACACGCTGACAAACGCAGCGAAATAGGCTCCACACTTTGGTCGGCCTCCTGAATGCGGATAACATCACAGCTGCCATCCTTCGAAATGAATAAAACTAAAACAACGTGAAAAATTATATAGAAAACTACTACGGATTAAAAACGGGTCCTGGACTCGAGTAAGCAAATGTAAGTCTTTAGACGAGAAATATGGAACGCCACCCTGAAGTAATGCGAAAGCGGTTCCAGGGTGGGCGACGGTTCAATTGAGGAGAGTTTTTTGTGACTTGCAAGAGTCACATACCATTGCTGTGACGACACAATGACGATGAGGAAGGCATTTTTCTAAACCTCTCCCGAAAAAAAAAAAATAATAATAAAAATATTTAAGATACAATTTTTTAGTGGCAAATAAATATATAAAATTTAATAAAAATTTAATTAATAAAAAAAAAATTATTCAATATTTGCAGTCATAATGTTAGTAACATTATTATTATCTTGATAAATAGCTACCCCACCTTTTGGAATAGTATCTCGTTTGAATTGAACAATACAATTGAAATAAGGCATTTCAATCGGATTATCAATGGTAATAAATTTCCACTTATCTTGGCTGGCGATTTCAACATCAACTTTGCTGATAAAAATCAGAGCGGGATTTGAAAATGAATAATGATCCACAAGAACGTCATCTGACGTTTAGCAATTGAAAAAAGAGGGACGGCCAGATTGAAATCCTACAGAAAAATATGTAAACAGAGTGATTGGTTGCTGCTGTTGAAGATCACTAACAAAAATTGGAAAACAATGAAAATGAAAGAAAACGCGAAATTGAAATGTATGGGATGAAATGATGACCATGCATAGTAGTATTAATTTTCAATTGAAAATTAAAAAAAAAACACTTATTAATTGAGAGCTAATACATTTATTCTTTTGATTAAGTGTTTAAAGTTCAAAAATCAATTGTTTTAATATTTTACAATATCACAAAAAAGGGTTTAAATAGTTTCTGCATACGTTTAACGGATATATGTATAATAATATCTAATCTTAATAAATGTTGGGTATTTTAATTAAAATTGCCAAAAATTATTATCTTTTCCGATCCGGCTACAATGAAAATTTTTATTAAAAACGCTAATTTTGAGCGCTGTCATACTGGAATAAATTGGGCATCCCTTTATCCCTGGTTTCAATGATAAAAATTCCTAAATAAGCTATATGTATAGTAAGAAATTAAAAATACTTTAAACAATATTAACCTCTAATTTATTCAATAAAAGTATAAAATTTGTTTATGTATCGGTCACCGCGCTCAAAAAGTGTAACTTGAATTAATATTAAAGAAAAACAATGCTGCATAAAAAGTAAATAAACAATTATAATTGCATAAGTTGATAGAAAATGCTATGCAATAGTTTTATCGCGGCAGTCCCCGAGTGCCACACGCACTTTTTTATTTTTTGCTTGGCCACACATGAAGTTCGATGAACCTTACAAAAGCTGTAACATTTGTGTTAAGGCTTGGTGAATCCTGCTTACCACAATCGATTTGACCTTTCGATATTATACCGGCGACCATATATAAACATTTGTATTTTTCCTCCTGGGAGGGAAATGTTATCAGTAAGGGTCCACCGGAGTCCCCTTTGCAAGTGTCTTTGATTGCTCCGTGGGCACAAAATTGTGTGCGATCTTTCAGACCGCGAATCAAACTATACGCTGTGCTCACAATCGGTCCACAATTTACGAATTCTGTCAATTGGACGCGACGCAGTCGTGAAGACATATCAGTCGAATTTGCAACTGCACCCCAACCAACGGCCCAAAATTCTCCTTTGTTGTATACCGTCCGACTTGGTGTGAGTATGCAAGCGGGTTGAACATACTCGGTGAAAGTAACTGTGCCATTTAATTCCAACAACATTATATCGTTGTAGTCTGAAGTGTCGTATTCAGGGTGCGAAATCAGCCGGCTTACTGAAAACTCCTGAACACCCTCATCATCCTTGTTAGAACTGAAGTCCAAATCGCCAAGTCGTACTCTATTTAATGCCCTATAATTTTACAAAGATTAATTAGTCGATTATTAATTAAACGATGTGAACTTCAACACGACTTCAGCAAAGTCAAATTTACCGACGACTTTACTTACGTCTAATGAAACAGTACGGAAGCTTTTAGATGAGAAAAGACCTCGTGGTGTTTCGAATAGGTGCACACTTCAAAAACAAAGTACTTACTTTGCTTTCGCACAATGACTCGCTGTCAAAACGAAACGTTCACTAATCAGTGTACCGCCACAGAACCAAGTTTGTTCTTTAGTCCTAGAATTTAAGAAACCTATCAAGGCAGCTGGTGGAAATTCCTTTGCCTTAGCAAATTCACCACCGGTTATAAATTTTTTGGTACAATTATTAGGTATCATATCCGCGTATTTTTGACAGGCTGAAAATAATAATAAATGCCGTCAATAAATACACACGGAAATTTAAAGACATATAAAGTTTAGTCTAACCAAACTCTGAGGCCAATTTTGCCGGGGTAATAATTGGGATGTCGGGCTCTTGGGGACAACAAACAATGCCATGCTTTCTATCACAGTAATCTATATCAGCCCGCTGGTACAGCACTTCGCAATCACCAAAGTATTTACAAATGCATGGTTCAAACTTACACTCGCATGACTCACCCTCTGTAAAATTTTAAGAATTTGAGTAAAACGTAAGAAATGGGGGTTCTTTCTTAGCTTCTGTTACTTTACCAGTTTTCAGTGTTTTATTTTGCACAGTTATCAATAATGTGAAGATTACGATGATGCTGTGCGGCAAATATTCCAATAGTCCTTTCATTATGAATGTTGCTTAGGAACTGTCTGCGGGATTGGCACAGCTTTCTTAGTGAATGAAAGTAGATGCTGAGAAATCTTCAAGACAACTGATAACCTGCCCACCTAGTCTTGCGAACGCTCATTTACTTGCATGTACATACATAACATATACTTATGTACTATTATACTTTGAATATAAATTTATCGCACACTAACTACAAAAGAGGCATAACTCAACTACACTTATCTACCTTGCCTTGTTTCAACTAAAGAGTAATATTTGTAGTTGTGTCGCTATTGATGAAATAAATCGTAAATTTACTGCCGTATTCTGCGAAGTTGTGTCTCTTCATCTGAAACAAAGTGAGTTTAATCATCTGAATTATTATTAAGTGTGTCACTTTCGCTGAAATAATTGTGATTACCAAAGTGTTATTCGATATTTTAACTCAAAAATGTATGAAAAATCAATAATATTTGAGTAAGAGTATGTTTTCTTGAAGGTAATATAGTTTAGTGTAGTAAATTGCTCTAGTACCTTGGTCTAGCCCTCTATACCACACTTCTGGTTGACCTTTACTTCATATTGCATTTGAGCCATTTTGGTTTTTGACTGCACCCGAATTTAGAATTTTATTATTAGTTTTTGTTCGCAATATCATCCTTTGTGCGCCCATGAAATTCAACAAACCACTTACGAAGAGTTGCTTCGATTGCTTCAGAACCTGGATAACACTCATAAAGCTATTTTTTGGTCTCTGCAACAATACTTTACTTTACAATTTTTCATAAACTTGCTTACTCTCGGAACATCTTGCTATAGAGTATAATAGTTTTGTTTACCTAACGGTTGTTAATAACTAAAACTAATTGATATATGTAGGTATATAATTATAAGTACATATATATCCACCCACCGTGAAAGCTGTATCTTGTATATTAAAGAAACTTGGTATAGCAGATGGGTGGAATCGGACCACTACCCAGCTCACAAAATGCCGTTAATCGAAAACCTATAAAACACCATAACTAAGTCGCAAATTAAGATAAAAAAACTCTAATTAGGTAAAGCAACTTGTAGGAGAGGGACATCTGTGGTTTGAAAGCTTTTTTAAAGTGGACGTGTCCCTTCCCTGCTAAAAGCTAGTATGTATGTATGTCTATAAACCAAATTTACTCAGGACAAATCTTTACGGTACCTTTTCCGACATTGTGAAAATATATGAAATCGGATGATAACCCCACAATCTCCTAATATAACGACTATGTTGAAAACTACTAAAAGTGTAAAAACTTTCTAACTAAACTTAGAAGCATTAAATTTCACTATTACATGATACAGAAAGATCTCATAGGAGCCAGTGTCGAATTATAAGTGAGTCCAGGCCTTCCTCTTGCTCCAATACACTTTAGACCGTTTATGTCGGTCAATTTGTGTGATATTTTAATAAAATTAAGTTGATATGTTTTATTTAAAATAATTGTAATTCGATTTAGCGCTAAATATGAATAAGTGCTATAATATAAGTTAATAAGATACTAATTATGATTGCAATCAATTCACGATTTCGTCGATTAATGAATTTTGAATTTACGAGTTTACGTTAGCGAAAATGTTCATTATTTTTGTACGCTTGAAAGTGAAAAGCTTTATATGAAATTTATTTCAAATTTCACGAAAAAAAAATCGAAATTTAAATTAAAGTATTGTGCAAATTGCCCATAAATGTTATGTATTGAAAAATTCGGTTACCATATATAATATATTTCTTTTTTCCTCCCTTCCTTTTTTTTTCTAAGAGCTTAAGAACTGCTTTTTCCCTTAAGCGTCTAAGTACGTTCATTTCACTTTGATCCACCATTGCATTTCCAGCCCATTGTAATGCCTTGTTAAAAATTTCAATTGCGTATTTTGCCGCAATTTTCTCTACTTGCTCACCGGGAATGGAATCATCATTGTCCCTACGATGGAGTCATCAAGACAAGGACCATCATTCCACTTTTCAACCATTGGTAGTGAAAATTCCTTCTAAAAAGTTAAAAAAACAATGCTTTGCTAGTGCTTGCTAGGTATGTCGTAAGATTCTTACCTGAAGACTCAAATCCTGAAGGAGAATAACTAATGCTTGCATTAAAGAGTTTATTTCGGCATCCCATTTCGTTTTTAGGATACTTAATGGAATATTATCTTCAGGGTCTTCCTTATTTCTCATTAAATTTAATATTTTTCCACAATGAACAAGAGTTTAATTCGTAAGTTTTATCTAGCAAAAGCTTCCAGAATAATCCAAACTTATCAGCATTATATATTGAATAATTGCATAACTCCATTGCCTCAATTTCCCAAATTTTTTGTTTAAGTTTTTAAATGGATCTACTAATTGATGCTGCGATTAGAGTTTTTCTCCGGATACTTTTAGAAGTTTAACTCCACATTTTGCTTTAAAGCGCTGGAACTATCCGTCACTAGCATTGAACCCGGAATTCCTTAGCCTTTCCTTTCAGCATCAAACCGCTTACGGGCAAATTTCTTTCACGCATACGAATGAACCACAAATAAATACTCTTTTCCATAGATGGAAGCTCTGCTAAATTTTCAAATTTTGTCTTTTTCCCGGTCCATAGTATTTGTTATTTACACATTTTAAAATGGCATCTCTTTTCTTTCTAATAGCGCATTTTATAGACTTAGCGACCCCGTTCCCTTTTGCAAGCTTTCTAGTATGTCTGCCTTTCCTTTTATTGCGAACATTTAGGTTTTTTTGATCTTCTTTTGATTGATTTATCTCAGGGATAAAGGGATGCAAAATTTATTGCAGTGTGAGAGCGCCTAAAAATTAGCGTTTTTTATAACATTTTGCATTGTGGCCAGATCAGTCAAAATAAAAATTGTTGGGCATTTAAATTAAAACACCCAATACTTATTAAGATTAATAATTATTATATATATATATTAGTTAAACACATGGAGAAACTATTTAAATCCTTTTTTGTGATTTTGTGATATATCAAAACAAGTGATTTTTGAATATTTAATCCTTAATCAAAAAAATTAAGAAATAAATAACTGGATCTAAATGTGGTTATATTCGATAGATGAGGGATTACCAAATATATAGAAGGCGTTTCTATTCATGAAAGAAAGTTATTTGGTTCTTTCTTGTAAGATTAAATAAGCTTAAGTGATGCGCTAAAGGAAGGTTAGAGGAATTGTGGTAAAATTTTTACTATTTTTGGAATGACGATGTTGGAAAATAACTACAAGTATATATAAGCTATCTGAAAAATAAGGTTTTTGGAGTTGTGCAAAGTAGGCAATAATTTGGCATAATGGAACAATGTCTCTATTTTCCTCTTCTATAAGTAGTCGATGTAGATCACACCTTATGGTCATCGCTTTTTCGGTCGAGATAACAATCCTCACCGCTTTCGTAGCAGGTTCGCTGGGTTAAGTCACGAAATGACGCATAAACTTTTTCAGATTGGTTTACCTAAAACTTACCAATCCAATAGGGGTTAGATTCCGGTAACGTAGAAACGGCCGTCATGTTTTTAGATTTGTCTTACGGTTACGTTGTGCGGAGTGACAGTTTTCCCATGCACACTTTTTCATGCAGGATATGGTCTACGTTGCCCTTTAAGATGCCTAATTTCTAAGCTATCCCGTGGACCGTCAAGCCCTGTTCTGGCAAATCGAGATAATAAGCATTTATCGCGCCATTCTCCGTGGTATCTTTTTTCGGCTCATTAAAAACCGACTTACGGCCTCGTTGAAACTTGTAAACCAATTATTCACAGTCCGCATCAAAGCAAAAGAGCACTCAAGCGCTGTCAGATTTTTCTTCCAAAAGGAAGAATTGAATTACGGACCGATTAACTCGTATATAGCTTTCCAGTTTTCTAAAATCCTCTAACACGGTCACACGGCCAAACAAAACTACGATCCGATTCGCCTGAAATTTTGAGTGTAGTTGTGTAAGAGAATCTTATACACGATAAAACATCTCTCTTGTGATAGCGGTGTAGTGAGGCAAAATATTTTGTGAATCACCCCTTAGTGTGAATACTTGTACTATATATGGTGTGGACTGGTCAAGTGGTTGGTGAAATATAAAAGTTGGTAAGCCCGAGGTATTCTTTCTCCTTCATTAAATTGAAGATGCTTAATGAATGCTGATGAAACTTAACAGTTAAAAATACCTTTTGTGAAGGACTGCAACATGTTTAAAAAAAATTGGTAAGCTACAATTTTTTTTCATCATGGGTATCAAGCTAAAGAGGTTTAAGATACTAATTCAAACTAATTTGTATTTCTGTTTGAATATTTTCATTTAAAAACTTTTCATAATTTTCCTAAATTCGTTTATTTTAATAATTCAATTTGTTTATTTGCCAGTTATACATATAATTAGCATTAGCTATTATTTAATAGATTTTAATGATATGATTACTTTATATATATGTATGTGTATGTATATGAACTATAGGAAATGTACTTTTAGGATATTGGATACAAAATGATAACAACTAATTTTCCATGAATATATTTGTTTTAAACTTACAATGAATTTTCCTTTCTTTTTGTAATGTTAAATATAAGTTTTTTGTATTTATTTGTTCTAAATTTTTGTATACATGCAAACATCTGGTAATACTGCTATATTGTCAGACATTTTTTTTATATTATATATATATTTATTATATAGTAGTTAAATACGTATATATGTAGCTACATATGTATATGTGTACATAATCAGATATGATATAAAATTTGCCCGAATACTTGGGTCTAAGAGACATTAGATGAACAGTCGCTTTCTTTGTAACGATTACAGTTTTTAAGAGCAAGCTTTCATCAAGCTTGAATAAGCACTCATATTTGCATGATAATTTTAAAACAATATGTTTGAATGAAAATAGTGTATATCTTAATATCAAAGGAAACGGTGGAAAGAGCTTTCATTTGCTAGTTGTACGTCTTTAAAAGATAGTCTAACATTTCAATATAAAAGCTTATAGTGCCTTACTGTGTTGTAGATGAAAACCGAAATGAGTTTTGTATGCTGATTCTGGCAGTAAAAAGACGAAAAATCGAAAATAAATTTTGTATTTTTTTATCGTATATATTTTTTGGTAAGCCTACTAACATTTAATTTTTATGTGCTCGAAAAAGCTTGAAAGTTTAAATTTATTTAATAGAGTTTTCTCACAATTTACTGTAAAGTTTAAACTTGTTCAATTTTTTCTTAAGATATGGAAGCTTTGGTAGCTTGTAGCTTACGTACAACTAATGTAAGCTTTCACATTCACATCCCAATTACACGATTTAGCTCTGTTTGTTTAGTGTGTTGTTAAGTTGTTTAATTGTACATATAATATTAAGATACTACTACTAAATTTGTGTCGCTTTATCTATGATCTCTATTTAAACTTCAGAATTCTTTTTGGTTTTTTTCTTTAGTCAGAGATTTTTTAATATCGATTTGTTAGGCAGTACGTTTTGAGTTCGATATATAATATATTTGAAATTAGAGTATTTAATTAAATTTTCATTTAATTTTTAATACCGAAAAAACTCTTCCGCGTATTTGGTTTGCTATATGTATTTAATTCAAGTTTTTTTTTTTTATCAAAAAATGTTATATCTCAGAAATTGATGGATTGATGGACGGGAAAATGAATCGGCGTGCGTTTTAATTAGGAGCTAATTTGGTAAGGAATATGAAATAAAATAATTTTCTTACAAATATAGGACCGTTTAATTGGAGAGGTCTTGAGATTTATATATTCTTTGAAACTTATCATTCATCTTAGCAGGGTCTCTTGACAGATGAAAAAAATTCAAAATCTTTGGAATGAAATAAGTAACACGTTCATACTAACATTTTTTTCGTAGCTATTCTACATTAAAAGTTCTCTTAGCAAACGAAACTTATTCGTTATGCATCACTCGTTTTTCCCGCTCACCTTAAGAAAGATATGTGAAGTGAAGAAATCGACAAGAACCCATATAGATTTCACTAAATTTAATACAGTTAAATAATAGTCAGCAAAAGATGTGAGGATATCTATTGTATTTAAAGTGTAATAACCGTGTGATGTTAAATTTTTAATGTTTATGCCAATATTATGGTTTTATCAGTTGTTTGTTCGATTCGCCACTTATCAAGTTTTGACAGATCACAAAAGTCTGCTCTTTTATGTGGGCAAATTATTGGAACCAAAAAAGAACTTGAAAAGACATTATTGTTCGGCTTTGCACCCCTTACATGTTATACATTAAATCGATTGAGTTTTATTATTCTAATTCAGGCTTATAGCACTATTTATATTTCAGGATATGTGAATTCTAAATCGTTTATTTGAATATATGTATGTATGTAAGTTTTCGGATTATTAACTGCATATTTCTCCTAAATTCGTTTATTCAACCAATTATTTGTTTTACTTTATATATATATATATATATATATACTTTATATATATACTTGTATATATATATATATGACTGTATGTATGCATGTCTATAATTAGCGTTTAACTATTTTATAGAGTTTTTAGATGATATGAATATTTTATATGTATTTGTATAAGTATATGAACTATAGGAAATGTACTGGTAAGATAGCCGATATGTTGCCTAAATTCGTTACAAAATTAAGAGAAACGAATATTTCATGAATTTATTTAATTTGATCTTACAATGAATTTTCTTTTGTGGCTGTGCAGTACACATTTTTGGTGTACTTTTATTCATAGATTAATAAACAAACTGTATATTTGCACTGTTCTTATGTAGAATATTTTCCATATTATTTATATATATTTATTTATGTTTCAAACACACATTAATTTTGTTTATGAAATCGAACGATTTACCATACTCAATACAAGCTTACACGAATTTTAGGAGAGCTCTCATAATTATGGAAGCTTTTTTGAGAAAAGTTTTGAAAAAGTTGCGATAAAAAATATCCGATCAAAAGCTTGGAAGAGCTTTCATGCAAGTAAATAAAAAAGGGTTTCATTCCAAATGCCAGCAAATATTTGCAAAACAGTATTTTTTATTATTTGGTAGTGCCACATGAGAATTGCGGATATCAATAATTAACTAACGAGAGGAAGTCAGTTGAGTTCAGTTTACTTATTAATAGCAATGTTTGATTTGTAAAGCAAAAAGCGGATTTTGGGTATTTATATTGGCAGTGAGTGTAATAAAACATTACTTTCAGTTCCTTAGAAGGTGGGTGGCTCGTTTATAAAAGCCTATAAACGTCAAGCAAATTGAATTCTGTCATATTTATAGATCACAAATGCATTTAGTTGTAAATTAATATATTAATTAAGTATTAGTGAATGCATAGTAAAAAATAGATAAAAATGATAAAGCTCTCATGAAATTGGCAGTAAAATTTTAATTTTAAGTTTACTCACGAAAGCTCTAATGTTTAGAGACTGTAAAAATTTTACATAAAAGGTATATGGAAGTGCACTTATCAAGCGCTAAAAGTCTTTAATATATCATCATTCAATTGTTTCTTCGTAAGCTTTCGCACAGTTAGTCTTAAGTTGTGCTTTTTTGGAAACAGTAAAACTTTCACTGTATAAAAGAGAGAGTTCAGATTGTATCTGCGAATATTGAATTCATACCAGCTTCTTGTTGCATGTTGATTTTCATAGTACTGTATAAGCTTCCACTTATTTATTAGAGTTAGTTATGGTTGGTCTAATATCAATACAATAATAATTTTTAATTAATTACAATTTTAAAATATTTTTTTTCTTTTGTCTATCTTTGATTATTAAAAGAGTTTTTCGTTTACTAGTTTG